GCCCCTCCGCCCCGCTGCTCCGGTTCCCTTCCACGCCCTTTCTGGAGCCGTCTTTCAGGGGGGCAGGCGGGGCGAGGAGGCTGTCCGAATGAGCCCAGCATTCCCCGGCACCCCACCCCTACCCCTTCCCTGCCGTCCGGGCCCCAGTAAACCACTCGCACACCCTGCACGTGCTCTGCGATGGAGCGAGAGCTCCGGGAGGCGAGGTGAAAGTACTCGGGCTCCGGGCGCTTCCTCTCACTTGGTGGGGTGCGCAGACCTCTCCAACAGCTGTCAGTTCTGAGGTTTGCATACAGGAGAATCAAAAAGTGCAGGGCTTCTCAAGCTGAGACGTGCACCCTCTCTAGGCCTTCCAGTTGTGCAAAATTGCCGTGACGTTAATGAACTGTTCGATCCTTTAGACTGGCTGCTGGGACCCAAAGCGCCCTGGACAGCTCCTGGAAGAAATGGGTCTAGAAATACTTGAGGTAGTGACAACGATTCTTTGCTTGGTCAAACTTTAGTCAGGCCCATATACTTTCTCCTAGGTGCCTCTGTGCACTTCCTTGTAAAATCCGGTTTCAGCAAGAACGCTGCCAAGTCAGTTTACCAGAATCCGCTCCCCTCCCCCGCCCCAAAATACCCCCCGCGCGCCCACCCCCGCGCGCGCAGTATTTGATTATCCTCCATTTCTGATGGGGCTCCTCATCTTCCATCATCCCTCAGGTGACGTCTGATCACCCTGGCCTGTTTTCAGTTAGGTAGGGTTAGCCGGAACTTCCCTTACCCCTGTGGTCTTCTCTTAGTAATTTTTCACCCACTTGACCATGCTGAATTTGGAATTGAGCCCCACCTCTCTCCCCCACTGTGAAATCCCATTGCAGTGGTCCCTGTAACTGTCTCTATGGGCCAGAATAAAGTCCGCCTTCTATCTTTAACAAGTGCTGTTGAATACTTTTCTTCTTTAGGAATGGACCCTGGGCCCTGCTGCGGTGGTTCAGTGGTTGAGCGTGGACCTATGAACCAATGAAATTTTTAAACTAAACCTGAGTTTACTCCTTATCAGGACTAGATCGGGAACTTGATTAATTTGAATCACAACCACTATGGATATATTTTGATTGGTTTTTATATTATTTTTTGGCCCCAGGTAAATTTGTTTAAAAAATTCACTGAATTTTCATAACAGGTAATTTCCCCAAATTATATAAAGAGGTGTCAGATCCATTTTCAAAACCTTTTACAAATCCTAAACCAGATGGTATGGATAATTTATAAATGAAATACCTTTTCTTGAAATGGGATACAAGAATTGTATGCTGTTCATTAATCTGAATCCCAGGTGCTGGGAACAAGGAGATACTCAAAAGGCTGTAACTGGCACACTCAATTCTCAAGTGCAATTTGGGAAATATAATTTAATCTCTAATGCCCATATGCCTCCACATGCTTTAACACCATTTCCTTACAATAATAGTGAAGTCATCTTTACAATGGAAGTTCGAAGTGCTTGATTTTTCTAGAACAATCTAAACTTTGGAGGGGTTTGCAGTTATAAATGATAACCCTAACTTAACCCTAGAGTTGGCTTAAGTAAATGAGTGAATAGAAAAATCCAGGCTTTGGAGTCAGGTGAATGAGGGCCCAAATTCCCTTCTGTGCCACTTATTGAGTGACCTTGGGGAATTACTTAACATCTTCACCTCCCCATTCCCTTCTATGTGTAATCCATCTAATAATAGGATGCATGCAAAGCACTCATTACTATGCCTGGCATATTTTATGTTCTTGTAAATGTTCATGGGGGGAGGGGGTGGAATCTAAATTAATGAATGAATCAACTATGTTCATGAATATCAAGACAATATTATTAGGATATTAATTATCAGCAAGTTTATTTATAAAGTCAACCCAATATCAATCAAAATTCCAGGAAGACTTTTTGTAGAAATTGACAAGCTGATTCTAAAATTCATACGGAAATGCAAAGAAATTAGAATAACCAAACAATTTTTTAACATAAAGACAACCTTTTGGTGCTTGGGATAACACTTCAACCAACTGAGCCATCTGGCTATGGTTCATTTACTTTTATAACAATGAAATTGTTT